AAACACCGCTAGCCGTGATGCTAATTTCCGCCATTTTAAACCCTATTGACTTCTGCTAAAATGTGCGCTAAAAAGTCCGCTAGCCATGATGCTAATTTTCGCTACATTAAATCCTATTGAATATGTCAAAAGTATTTGCGACTTGAATTTTGGATTTGTGAAGATTGCAGTAGATGCTGTTTATTGGCAGACATGTTTGTGTATTTCAAAGACACTTGTTTATTTCATTTTGATGCCCTTTTTACAGCCATTAGCATCATTAGCTGCAGGTGAACTGCTGGTTAAAATATGCTTTGCTAGTAAACGCCACCGTTAGCTGGTGTTTTCTAAAGTTAAAGTTACATCAGTTTGTTCATGTTTTCTTTTATGTTACCAAGCTTCATTTGAGTTTTTGCTTTAAGCATTAGGTCTAAGAAGTAATAATTTATTTAAATTTTTTTCTGGTGTAGCAATTTCCCTGAAGTCTTGTACCGAAGGGATCAATAAAGTTTTATTCTAATTCTTTCTATTCTTCTAATTACTGAATGAAACTGTGATTTTGAAACTGATGAATTATAGATGTTATGCAACAGACTTGAATTGAATCAATAAGTGGATTTCATAAGTTTTAACCTATATGACCAGAAATGCTCATCGAATTAGCATAGAGGTCATTTTCTGTTGGCCTCATTTACAGGTCAGGTTTCTGAGTTGGAGCGTTCTTCTGGCGAGCTGTGACCCCAGAGTGAATCTCAAAACCCTCAAAGAAGATTGCAGAGATTTGAGACAAGATGGCGAGTCCAGTCCACAAGGAACCAAACCCGTTGGCTGTGATAGGACTACTGTGAACTAAGGAACCCTCCTATTTTCACCCTCTACCTGGAGTGCGGTAGGACTGAACTGTACACACACACACACACACACAGCTCTGGAGACAAATAACCTTCTCACCTCTCTTCATAGTGAATCTTTCAAAGACTTTCATAAATAATACGTTTTTTTGGTGTTTTTTTTGTTGTTGCTTGTATTCATTTTCATATTGATATACATCATTACCTAAACTCGTGTTTGTTTGATGTATATTACAGTTAACATCTGAAGTGAACTCTGTCAATCTGCTCTCAGCTCCTGTTGTTTCTAAAATCCTCTGAATTATAAATAATGTTCTGTAATTAACTATAGTCCAGTTAAATCTATAACAAATAATTTATACATATTATTAATTATCGGGTTCAGGGTTTAGGACAGCAGAGTTTCAGGGGAAGAGGGTCGACCCGTATCAGGAGTCAGACTGAGGTTTGGTCCCTCCAGTTCTTTTAAATTCACCAGGACTTTTTTAGGTTTCCTCCTCCACCAAGTGTTTAAATGTTGTTCTTCTTGAGTTATTTTCTGGTCCAAGTCCTCTTTTTCTTTGGCAAGTGCCGCTTTTAGTTCAGATGTTTCCTGGAGTTGTTTCTCCAGGAGGTGGCACTTTTCCATCTTCTACTGGCACGTTTGTTTGTCAAATTGCAGCTGAATGTTTTCTAGTTGAATTTTTAGCTTGGAGGTTTCATCCACCTGTTTCGCCAGGCAGGTGTCGGCCTCCAGCCTTTTTTGTCTTTTCTTCTTGAACAGATGTTTCTAGTTTTTTTAAGTGGTTCTTAAGAATCTCTGTTTTTTTTTAGCCGTTCTTTGTGGAGATCTAAGGACAGATCAGCCATGTGTCGCGTGGATTTTGCTTTATGACATCCTATTAGATATTTTAGATGCATTGTTTGAGGCATTACAAGGCTGTCTTGCTCAAGTGTAGACAGAGAATTTTCACCTGCTGCAGGCTCTGTCCTGGGTCTAGCTGCAGGCTGTGATTCATGAGGTATGGTGTCTTCATTATTGGCAAAGGCTGTGGAAGCAATGACTTTCGGGAGTGGCGTCTCCAACAATACATCAACCGTGTTTGAAGTGGATCTGCACGCACGCAGCCACACACGTTACACATTAATTTCTTGAGACTAACTTTTGCCGAAGCATTTTTTTTCTTATAACTTTAAATCTAAAATTTAAGATTGATATTATAGTGACTTTATTGTTGTCTTCATAAGGAAGTCAGGCTCTCACAATGTGACTTTGTAAACCCCCACAACATAAGAGATACAGGCACACTAACACACACACACAAAAAGACATGCACACCGAGCGTAGGGCTGATTACCCGTGTCTAAACACAGCATGTTCAACGAGGGTCGCCTGCAGCCTGCAGGTAAAATGTAATTGGTTCCATATTTTGTGTGTGTGTGTGTGTGTGGTTGTGGGTGTTGATGTGGGTGTGTGTCTCCTTGGGCGTACAAAATGGTCAAAAGTGCAACGGCAGTTCTGAGCAACTTACAGTTTTTAGACACACAAACACATGTGGTGGATGTCTTCATCCACTTGGATTTACAACCAGTACGCTCACTTTAATCAAACCTGAACTGTGTTAATCTCATGCCATGCTTCACCTATCGCGCTACGCTGAACCGTATAGTTGAATTCTAAACCTGTCACTTAGGGAATCATATTTGACTTGACCCAGACTTTAAACTGACCTTCGTTCCTTCTGTTAAACTGCGACCTTCGGGCCTGTGGATACACACGTGTCAAAACAACATTTATCACCTCTGAAACGGCTGCTATTCCCAGAGCGCTGCCCTCATTTCTTTCCATCCCTCCCTCCTGCCTTCATCTGCTTTCTCTTCCCTCATGTATACCCCCTGCAACTTTACCCCCTTTTTGTCCATCTCCCTTCACAATCCTCTTCAGCTCTTCTTTTGATTCTTATGTGTATGTATTTCACTTGTTTTGTGAGCTTTCCTTTTCATGGAAAAAAAAATCACTTTTCCCCTTAAATGAAGATCTGTTTTGCTATTCTATAGACAAACTCTTTACTCATTTTTTTAAGGCTTTCTTCGAAAACCTTTTAGCTGCAGGGTAGGATATGTCAAAATGCATTAACAGCTGTTTGTTTAGTAGAGCGACTGTTCGTTGCGATAGCCAAAGTGGCTTATATGACAGAAAGAAATGAGCACCACTCACACAAATTCAAACCTAATTAAACGTGGTGCTTTGACTGTGAATGGAAATTGGCATGTGGATGTCATCCTGTCCTGCCCAAGCATGTAAAATCTGAAGCAGATTGGAACATGCTGAAGGTGGTAAGACACACTTCCCCTTTGATGGCAAATGAAGCGCTGATGGAGTTTTTTGTGCGTCCGGACCTGCTCCATTTGTGGACCGAATTTTGTAGCGCTAAGTGAAACGTAGCCTCGATAGGACTCCTTTGAAATTCTCTAGGGGGCGCTGTTCAGCAATTTTGCATTTTAGAGCTCAGCGCTTGTCAACTTTTTTGTGCGTACCGACCTGCTCCATATGCCTACCAAATTTCGTAGCTCTAGGCCAAACATGCTTCCAACAGGAGTCCAGTAAAATTTTCTAGGGGGCGCTGTGGAACCATTTTGCCATTGACATACCCAGTTTCTTAAAAATATCAAATTTTTCAATAGTCCTGATGTGTGTGCAAATGTTCATGAGTTTTTGAGCATGTTTAGGCCCTCAAAAACGAGTTTGTTTTGATGGAATAATAATAGTAATTCCTTGCATTCCAATAGGGTCCTACGCACTTTCAGTGCTCGGGCCCTAAATATCTAAATGAGACATACAATGAGCAGAATGAGCAACATTGCAACTATAATTCAACACAACAACCTTGAAGAGATGCCGGGAAGGCTAATTTTAATTTATATATTACTTTATATTGTGCTGTGTATCTTGTGAATATTAACTAGGGAACAAAAAAGCAGGGAACATATCATAAATTATTTGTTGGTTATAATTTGAATTAGTAATCTGTAAAATATCAGTTTCACAAGTTATTAAATAAAAAGTGCAGCTCACATTCTTTACTGCAGCGTCACCAAGTTGTGATAACATTTAGTTTCTTTGCATCTCATGATTCTGTTTTTCTGCCATTTGAAGCTGAAACTGGATTTTGTGTTTAATTTGCTGCTTTGAGTGAATCATTTGTTTACCAGGATGTAACTGAAAATGTAACCAGGAAACAATATATAATTAAATGTTATTTCCTTCATTTATTTCTAATTATTAAAATCTTTTAAATGTAAATTTGCTGAACACGACGTCAGTTGAGGAGGTCTGGACCCAGCCCAAGCTCTCTATGAAGACGAGGAAAAACTCCCCATTTAAGATGGGAAGAAACCTCGGGAAAGGCAATTCAAAGAGAGATCCCCTTTCCACGGATGACTGGGTGGAGCTGCAGGAGAAAAGGAGAAAAAAACACAATCAGGTCCTCTGGTCAGACAGGAAACAGCATTAGAGCAGAATTAAATGTTGATAATCGTCCTGGATGTCTGCGGAAAGTCTAACGCCGTCTTTATATTTTCTACGTCTGAGAGTATGTGAGGGTCGGCGTGACGTAAACTTTGGTCACAGACGACTTCTCCTTTCCGCATTGGCAAGTAGGCAGGGTTTCGTGTGACATAAATTTCGTCACTTAGGAATATTTTTAAAGTTCCTCTTACAGACTTTGGGAGAAGATAGTACGACGTACACTTTGTGCGTCTATGAGTACAAACTAGTCCACGTAACTTTGGTCATTTTCCAAAGCTCACAGGAGTCCCTGCAGTCTTTGAAAGATGACGGTGCGACATATACCTTAAACATCGACGAGTGCTTAAGGTTTCGTAATCTTCATGAACGACGTTTTTTTGAAACCTGTGTGAATGTGCACAGACTTAGGTGACGGTACCACATATACCCTTAACATCTGTGAGTACATAAGGTTTAATAAATTTGTGATAAACGGTGACAAATGTGCTTCAGTGGTGGAAACTAAGGTCTCCACCTCAGAAACACAATCCTCCCAGCAGCCTACCTTAGCCTCCGCCTCCTCCAGCGAGCCTCCGCTGCCATCCGTAGGTAACCGGTCTCTCAAGAACCAGGATCAGCTGTTGGACCAGGCAGTACTGATCCAGTGGTTCTGCTGTTCCAGCCTAAATCCTCAACAGAGCTGCCACTTCTGTGGATTCAGGTTCTGAAACATGAAACACAGGGGAGGGTGAAGGACAGAAGCTCCACAGGAGAACGTTCCCACAAGTTTGAATAACATTACCCAAAGGTTCTAATCTTGTTTAACTCTAATATTCGAACAATGTTTTGGAAATAATTAATTTTCAGTAATGTTCCTGTAAAGTAAAATTTTTTGACATCAATATTCGGACGATGTAGTCAGGAACATGGAGTATATTCTAACATTACAAAGGAGGACCATGGAGGATATTCTAACATTACAAAGGAGGACCATGGAGTATATTCTAACATTACAAAGGAGGAACGTATAAAGTCGTGTATTCTAAATGTGTATCTGCAGTTAGAAAAGGAGACAATGGAGGCTTTAACGGCTATGTGATGTTTGGGTGGAGGGTGGAGGTGAAGTGTGAGTGTGGTGCTTTTATCTGAGCCATGGATGAAGCAGGAGCTCCGTCAGTGTGGGCCGTTGTTCAGGAGTCAAAGCGAAGCACTTTTGTAAGAAATCCTGACAATCTGTTGGGACAGAAGAGCGAGAGAGATGAAGGTGATGGCTCCATTCCATCAAAGAGCAGCAACAGGTTTGTTGTTCTTACCTTCAGACAGCTCATCGCTGATTTGCAGAGCGTTTCCGAAATACTTTCTGGTTTCGAAATGTTCGTCTCTGTGGAGCATGTCGAACAGCACGACCCCAATCTGAAAGACTGTGGTGGGCCCGGCCCGGTAGGTACTCTGGCAGTGCCACTCTGGAGGGGCGTGGTCAACAGTGCCTGCAGAATAGAGGACAATAAGAACATGTGGTTGGTCGCTGCAGGGTGTCTGGTGTCTCCCAATAAATGTTAAAATTGTTTAAGTTAAATTAGGATTTTGCAAAAACTGGTTTTCATAGTCAGAGTCGAGTCTAAAACGTCTCAGCGTCTCACCGTAAAATACCCGATAGCAAGATCGTTTCTTAACGAAACAACACAACCCGAAGTCGATGAGCCAAGTACGCGGGACGTCCGATCCGGTGTCAATCAGAATGTTTTCGCTCTTTATGTCCCGGTGAAAAATGCCCCTCTTCTCCAGGTCTATGGCAGTAGCCAAGAGCTGTTTCAGGATGACCTAGGACAGACAGAGACAAAAGACTAATTACTGACATGGAAAGTGCAAAGAGTCTTTAAATGAACACAAAATGGCCCCTAATCAGACATTATATTAGCATTAAAATGTTTGTTTCCTGAACGGTGCCAAAATGTAGCTTTGTTGAGGAGGAACAATGGAAATGATGCATGGTAATGAACAGCGGTTAATCAATTTATTGATATTAATAAGTTAACTGATTAAAATGATGTCAAACTGAAGTAGAGAGCACTGTGGGAGTTAAGCTAGCAACGGGCACCACGGCAAAGACTTCTGTGGTGGTTAATGGGCGTTCACGCATTTAAAACAAGCTGAATGATGCTGAGATTGTGTTTTTAAAGCCGACCTGCCAGAATGTTTGTTCTGAGAAAGTTCTGTGAAAAATTCTCATCATGGTCCTGTCGACTGAATATTTTTTCAAGAGCTAGATAATGTTCTCTGAAGATACTGTTTTGCGCCAACATTCTTGAAACGCTTTCCGAATGTTGTATTGACAACATCCTACCTTTGTTAGCTAACCGTGTAAAATACCATGCTCTGTAATCAATTTATGTCATCGTTTAGTGGATTATTGATTAATAACGATGCGGACTACTGATTAAACCTTAGAAACAGGATCCTCCCAGCAGCCTACCTTAGCCGCCTCCTCCTCCAGCGAACCTCCTTTTCCCGCCACGTAATCGCACAGATCCTCACAGGGGACCGGTCTTTCCAGAACCAGGATCAGCTCCTGGCCCAGGTCGTACCAGTCCAGCAGGGATATGGTCCCCACTGGTCCTGCTGCTCTGGCCTGAATCTTCAACATAGCGACCACTTCTATGGAGAGCTGCTTCCCGTTCTGGTCCTGAAACACAGCGGAGGATGAAGGACAGAAGCTCTACAGGAGAACAGAAGCTCCACAAGAGAACACAACACTTTTAGGGCTGCTAACTTACCACGTGTTTGCACAAAACCTTGTCTTTGGGAACATGTTTTATCGCTACCTGCGAGACACAAACAGAGCTTTGGTTATTTTCTCACTTGAAACATTTTAGTTTCAAACAGGAACAAAACCTCTTCAAACATTATGTTTTGTAAAAAGCTGTTTCTTCATATCTTACCGGCAGATTGTCAGATTTACGGCAGCCGGCAAACACGGATCCACAGCCTCCTTCTCCGAGCATGTGCTGCTGCTCGTATTTACTTTCAAATTGGACTGAACAGACACACATACATTTAGTTTTACTGCACCTGTGAGAGACGTAAATGATAAATCCTCATTTCTATCTATGTACAACACATCTCCTCCTGCTGACCTCTCTGCTCGTCCACGGACAGCTCTCCTATGCCCTCTTCTTGATGCACCGGCTGAAGCCTCCTTTTCTTTCTCTGCGCTTCTTCATTGTCAGCGCCTTTTCTCTTGTTGCCCCCTTTTGGCTGACTGCAGCCCTCTAAAGGGTCGCTGCTGGTGTCTGCACAGGACACAATTAAAGTACAAATGTTTGATTTGTTTCAGAGAGTGAGATGAGTGTGGAGACACAAAATGAACAATATGACACACACACACCCACAAAAGTCACCAAAATGGGACAAAACCAATCATATAGAGATGCAAAATGACAGAAATGCGCAAAATGCCTAATATGGAACAGGAAAATACATAAACAGATACAGAATGACCAAAATGGGACACAAACCCAAATCAAAAGCTGCAAAGTGAGCCACAAAACGATTAAAATGGGATCAAAAGAAATGAAGAGGTAAAATTAGCATATTGAGACATAAATGGGCCAAATGAGACAGAAAATGCACAAAAACAAAGATGAACAACCATAAAGAGATGTTAAATGAGACAGAAATGGCCAGTGAGTGACACAGAATTACCAGAATGGAACAATAAATATGATAAGGAGATGGAAAATAACTGAAATAGGCCAAATTAAACAAATGAGATATATGGCCAAAATGACATTACAACCATCTCCACACTGAGCCTCCATCTGACCAGCCTACCTCTGCTGGTGGTTGCTGAGGAGGACGGCACCTCCTGGTCCAACAGGTGTCTCCTCAGACCCCTCTTCTTCCTCCAGGTCTTTGGACCCTCCCCGTAGTCCCGGACCTTCGTCCTCCGTGTGGTCCTGCTGTCATCTGAGCTGGTGCCGGGTTGTTCCAGCTCGGAGCTCTTCACCCTTTTCCTCTCCACGCTCCTATCAGGGCTGGCCTTCCTCTTCCTCGTCCTGGTCGGCTCCTCCGGCGGTGTGCTGCAATCTACCGATGACAACAAGACAGTGGTGAGAAAAAGGCTGGAACAGAGTCTCCTGACTGGTCCGACAATTTCATCAAACAGTCCAAATGAGACAGAAGTGGCCAATATGAGGCACAAAATGACCAAAATGGAACAAAAGACGAAGTAAAACGATGTCAAACTTCCCCAATGAAGCCACAAAATGAGACCTAATGGCCAGTATAGGCCTAAATTTGACCCAAATGATCCACAAAATGTTGAGTAAAACAAGCCTAAAGATATACACTGACCAAACAAACAACAAAACACAACATGAAGAAATGCAAAGTGACCAGAATGAGTCACAAAATGACCCAAATTAAACAAAAACTACATTAAAGACACGGAAAGCGATCCAAATGAGACGTAATGATAAAATGAGCCACAAAATGGCTAAAATGTTTGGCCAAACTACCTTAAAGAACAAACGAAACGGAAAAAAACAACCATCAAGTTTTTAAAATAAGCAAAATTAGAGACAAAGTAAAACAATAAAACTATAAGTGGATGCAAAATGAGCCAGTAAATGATTGAACGTTGCTTCGTCAGTGCTGTAAACACTGAACACAGTAACGATCATCTCCACACTGACCAGCCTACCTCTGCTGGTTGCTGAGGACGATGGCGCCTTCTGGTCCAAAAGGTGCCTCCTCAGACTCCTCTTCCTCCACCTGGTCTTTGGACCCTCCCCGTGGTGCCGGACCTTCCTCCTCTGTCTGGTCCTGCTGTCGTCTGAGCTGGTACCGGCTTCTACCAGCTCAGAGCCCCTTGCCCTTTTCCGGTCCACCCTTCTCTCAGGGCTGGCCTTCCTTTTACTTGTCCTGGTCGGCTCCTCGGGCGTTGTATTGCGATCTACCAATGACAACAAGACAGTGGTGAGAAAAGGCTGGAACAGAGTCTCCTGACTGATCCGACAATGTCATCAAACAGTCCAAATGAGACACACAATGACCAGAATGGGGCACAACATTTCATAAAATGTTGCAAATTGATTAAAATGGGGTCAAAAAAGCTGTAGAGAAGATGCAGAATGATCCAAATAAGACACAAAATGGCTACAGTTGAAAAAGAAGCGACACGGAATCATAATGACACATAAAGAGCAAAACAAGCAAAATAAATAAATACAATGGGACAAAAACATCCACACAGGAGACGTAAAGCAACCAAAACGAGAGACAAAATCGGCAAAGTACAAGAAAGAAATAATGAACAGACACAAAGTGAAACAGAAATGGCCCAATTGACACAAAAATGGAATGAAAAACAACACAAAGAGATGCAAAATTGTCAAAATGAGCCAAAAATGATGAAAAAAATGCAATCAAAGCAACCGTGATAGAACGACAACAAAACAACTAAACTAATTGTAAAAGACAAATATAATTTGGAAAATGGCCTCATTAAGTCAAATGGACCAAAATGATGCAAAATACAACATGAAGAAAAGCAAATTGACCAAACTGAGACCCAAAAGGTCAGAATTAGCCAGAAAATTCACAAAATTAAACAAGAACAACCATGAATATATGTAGAATGACTAAAGTAGCATGTAACATGAGCAGAGGAAAAAACAGTGAAGAGAAAAATGGTCAGTGAGGAGGAAATGAAAAAACAAACAACATAACGAGACGCAAAATGATCAAAATGAGCCAAAAATGATGAACAAAATGCAACCAAACAAATGGACAGAGATGTAAAATGACCAACATGAGAGACAGAGTGAACAAAGTAGAATATGAGACACAAAATGATCAAAATTAAACATAAAATAAGCAAAAAGAGCCACTAAATGACACACAAAATGAGCAAAATAACTAACATGTGCCACAAAATGACCCAAATGGTTCACCAAACAAAGAACGATAAAGATTAAACATGAGAGAAATGGCCAACAGGACACAAAATGAGCAACCACAAAGAGCAAATTTAAATAAATACCACCTTTAAGACACACAACCTGATCTAAAAGAGCCACAAAGTGTTTAAAATGAAACATGAA